GGTGCGATCATCCCCCTTGCGCGAAGTGAGGGTTCTCGACCCCGCACAACATGATCTACTCGACCACCAGTATGGTTACCGCCAAAACAAAAAACGGAGGTGAAAAGAAAACGCTAAGCTGGTTGCCGAGTTCACGAAGTGAATTGGCTTGTTTGACAACGCCGTTGCCAAGCGACGAAAACCCAACCCCGATGGCCAACACCGGGGCTTGGGAGGGGGCGGGGGGCGGCTTGTTTTGCAACGTCGTTGCCAAGCGACGAAAACCCAACCCCGATGGCCAACACCGGGGCTTGGGAGGGGGCGGGGGGCGGCTTGTTTTGCAACGTCGTTGCCAAGCGACGAAAACCCAACCCCGATGGCCAACACCGGGGCTTGGGAGGGGGCGGGGGGCGGCTTGTTTTGCAACGTCGTTGCCAAGCGACGAAAACCCAACCCCGATGGCCAACACCGGGGCTTGGGAGGGGGCGGGGGGCGGCTTGTTTTGCAACGTCGTTGCCAAGCGACGAAAACCCAACCCCGATGGCCAACACCGGGGCTTGGGAGGGGGCGGGGGGCGGCTTGTTTTGCAACGTCGTTGCCAAGCGACGAAAACCCAACCCCGATGGCCAACACCGGGGCTTGGGAGGGGGCGGGGGGCGGCTTGTTTTGCAACGTCGTTGCCAAGCGACGAAAACCCAACCCCGATGGCCAACACCGGGGCTTGGGAGGGGGCGGGGGGCGGCTTGTTTTGCAACGTCGTTGCCAAGCGACGAAAACCCAACCCCGATGGCCAACACCGGGGCTTGGGAGGGGGCGGGGGGCGGCTTGTTTTGCAACGTCGTTGCCAAGCGACGAAAACCCAACCCCGATGGCCAACACCGGGGCTTGGGAGGGGGCGGGGGGCGGCTTGTTTTGCAACGTCGTTGCCAAGCGACGAAAACCCAACCCCGATGGCCAACACCGGGGCTTGGGAGGGGGCGGGGGGCGGCTTGTTTTGCAACGTCGTTGCCAAGCGACGAAAACCCAACCCCGATGGCCAACACCGGGGCTTGGGAGGGGGCGGGGGGCGGCTTGTTTTGCAACGTCGTTGCCAAGCGACGAAAACCCAACCCCGATGGCCAACACCGGGGCTTGGGAGGGGGCGGGGGGCGGCTTGTTTTGCAACGTCGTTGCCAAGCGACGAAAACCCAACCCCGATGGCCAACACCGGGGCTTGGGAGGGGGCGGGGGGCGGCTTGTTTTGCAACGTCGTTGCCAAGCGACGAAAACCCAACCCCGATGGCCAACACCGGGGCTTGGGAGGGGGCGGGGGGCGGCTTGTTT